ACACACACTCACAACACACACACTCACAAAACATACACACACACACAACATACACACACACACACTCACACACACACAACATACACATACACACACACACACAACATATACACACACACACACACACACACACACACACACACTCATAACACACACACACACACACAGTCTGTCATCAGTGTTGTGAAAGTTACTTTGGAAATGTAATAGGTTACAGATTACAAGTAACCCTATTTAAAATGTAATAAGTAGTGTAACTATTTCAATGACTTTATTAAAGTAATATAACTGAATACATTTGATTGCTTTTCTAAATTTCTAATGAATGTTTTCAACTGTTAATCACTTTGAAACCTGTAAAGCAGGCAGGTTTAACCTCACAGAAGAACTCAACACTGATTACTGCCAGACTTTCACAATCCTTCAGCGTTTGATTTAAGATTATAATCATTTCATTTTAAAGCACAACCACCACAAAATCAGACTTCTATTTACTTTGAGATATCGGAGGTTAAATACAGAATTAAAAAACTTAACCTTAAAAAAAATAAAGCATAAACATAAACTCAAATAGGAAACAAAAGCAATTTGGTAAAGAAATCAATCACATCTATATGTGTGTGAAAATATTCAGACGTAACCCCTTTGTAATCGTTAACATTTTCATAAGTAACTGTAGTTTAATTACATGTTTTTTTCTCAGTAACAGATTGCAGTTACATTTATTTTGTAATTAAATTACGTAATTCTGTTACATTAGACACGGTCACTATGACTTTATATCAAATCATAATCATACGCATTAAGCATATACAAGCAAACGCGCTCTTACCCACGACAACACATCTAGCTCTTAATTTCACCATTAGGCAGAGATTAATAATAATTAATTGATTACATATGAAGCGGAATGTGTGTAGATTATCGCTGCTTCCGCCACTGCAACCCGAGCCTAAAGCGTTGCTTAGCGACTGAGATAAAGCGCTGCTATTGGTCTAAACGTTTTTTTCCCTCAGCACTGCGATTGGCTGAACGGCGTGACGCAGTAGACGTACGTCACTCCGAGGTTAACGTATCTGTTTTGAAACGCACTGCTAAAGGCCACGCTTCACACGCGCAGCTAAAATAACTTTATTTCCTCATAATCATTTATATAAGAATCCACTGACTAAATAAAAAATAAAAGTAAATAAAAACTTCTCTGAAAAAAGTCGTGTAGAAGCGATTTTCACTTAGAAACTACTAGTGCATTTCACAAACATTTATAAAGAAAGGGCAAGCATCACATTAAATTAAACGTGAAACTTTGAAGCAGAAAATCTGAAATAGTTTCTTTTAAAAAATAGATTACAAATAATCTTTGTTTTATTTACAGCTTCAAAAATAATTTTAGTGTATAACTTAACTTTGAAATTAAACAGGAACCCAATAAATGAATGAAAATAAATAAATAAAACAAAACAAAAATCGTTAATTAATTAATCCATCGTTCTATTTGGAATTAAATAATTAAATTAATTAATTAAATTAATAATAATTAATTTATGGAAGAATTAGAAGTAGATTAAAAAGACCTAGTACTGAACGCAAAAGAAAGCGCGGTTGCTATGGTGACCATAACGCGACGCGATTCTACCGGAAGGTGAACCGGTCTAGAGCGGACTGAACCGGACTGATCTCAAACTCATGCAGCTGGTCTGAGTCTAAGCCGCGCATGCGCACAGATGCGCTGTAGATCTGACGCCGCTCACTTCCGGTCAAGATGGCGGCGCAGCGCAGTAGCCTGATGCAGAGCGTAAGAAAGTGTTTTTCTCTCATCATCAACACTCATTATTACTCAAATATTACTCAGGACTGCGTGTGTAGTTTAACACTCGTGTGTTATGAGGGTCGTGAGGGACTGAATCGCCAGTGTTAGTGTTTATTCCGTGTGTTGATCTACGACTGCTGTATTTACCACAGCACATCTCTATCTTTACAGCGTTAAACGTCATCTAATGCTTTTATTCTGTTATTAATTAGTTAGCGTCACTGTTATGTTCAGTCTAATGGTCTGAAGTATTGTGAAGTACACAAACTGAAAGATTAACTAACCAAACCACTGAACCTACATGAATAAATTAACTAATACACATAGAAATACAAAGCTAAGTAACTCATTATCTGAATGAAGCTTGATCAAATCTGGCCTGAGAATGTAAAACGTTAAAAAAAGTAAAAGTCCTTTATGTTTTTTTACAATGTATTTTTCTTAAATGTATACATGTATGTATGTGTGTTTATTTATACATAATAAATATACACAGTACAGTACACACACATGTACTATGTAAACAAAAACATTTATTTTGGATCACGATTAATCATTTCACAGGCCGCACTAATTAAGGCACATCATTTTCAGAAACCAGGTCTTTATATCATTTTGCATCTCAAGTGAATACATGTTGATTTCAGAATGTTTTGACAGTTTTACTGGAAATCAAGGTCACGAGAGCATCATTTTGTGCAGTGCTGAAAGTGTTCAGTAATTGATCTGTAGGCCGATCGGAGCGATTGATGATCAGGTGTCTGCTGTGATTGCAGCATCAGAGCTGGACTGACGCTCTTCCTCTGTGTCAGCTGTGTGGCGTCGGTTCGGCCCCGAACTGTGTGTACGGCCCCGACGGGAAAGGGACCCAGAGCCACCCCAACGAAGACGGACACTTCTGCTTCAGGTAGAGCCGCTCGCAGA